ATTGTGCAACTGTGGCTCAGACTTCTTTATTCAGCAATTCCTTATGCAGGTGACTACCATCAGACTCCATACTCACTATTGAGAGGGCCCCAAGTGCTCCCTGTGACAGGATCTCCAGATGATCTAACAGAAAGTGACTTGCTTGTTGCTGAATGGTTGCTAATGTTTGACCTTCTGCATGCTAGTTTAAATATTTGACTTTCATCTTATATTGCCATGTTTGTGTAGACAATACCACTTATTTTAGGACCATACCACCGTATTGCAGTGCTTTGCTTGAGGCCATGCTTTGCTTCTTTTGCCTCCCAGTACTAGTTAATCGTTTGGCAGCGATTCTTATTGCTAGTGTAAGGAAAAGGTATTTTGCAAGATAGTGTTTTGAGTAGTGTTTTCCCAGAAAGTACAGGTGAGTTGCTACCTTGGCACATTTGAGAATGGATGGGAAGAACCCGAGTAGATGCCAGAATTTAAATATAGATAAATGAAGTCGTGCACTTAGATGAGTGTGGGTGCATGTGGAGCACAGATGGTGGATAGCATGGTGAGAAAGGCTCATACAAAAACACAGAGACACTGGATTTAAAGAGATAAAATTCCCTAGCTTTCCATGTACAGGCATTCCAGAGGTTGTGTCATATGAGTGCAACTTTTTAATTAGGGGCAACTAGACCTCAATCACCTTTGTCAGGGTGTTATTGTTAGCTAGGGGAGTGAGTCTAGTATGTGTTGATCTTTGTGTAGCTCTTTAAGAGTTCATATACTGGTCAAGTAGCTGCTATGTGTTCTCTGAATTCTCTGTATTTGAATAGTGTAATACCTGTTACTTTTAACCTTTAAGCCTTTAATTCAGTACAACTCTTCCAGGAAGTGGGTTTTAAAAGTTAGCAACTGTCATGTTTTGATTAGGGTGTTAAGAGATGTCTAATAAAGTTTAAATTGGAAGTCAGATTAGTAGCAACCTTGTTTAAGTGATCGGGCCTTGGAATAAAGGTTCACTGCAAACAAGAAGTATGATCTTCCCTAAGAAAAGGGCACAGAAATATACAGTGTCACTTGAAATGTGTAGAGGTGCATGTAACCTTTTTGCACGGATTGTTTGAGAGAGACTGTGGCAGCTTTAAAACTGTATCTTACCTGCTCTCTGTTTGATCTTTTCTTTCTCAGGGTAAACAGAGTAGCTTCAGACCTCTCCAGGCTCCATAACTGACATCAAGTGAGGTTCCTATTTAATGGATTGTTTAGGGTTTAATTTTCCCCCTGTTCTTTAGGGAATTGGTGTCTCTGAGAAAATAATTGCATGCTTGAGAACAGAAACTTTATTGCAGTGGTCCAACAACCTGAAAACAATTGTGACACTATACGAGAAACTTCAAGCAAATGGCCCATTCAGAAACCTTATGTAACCATGGCAGGTTTGAGTTTCCAGCAGATTTGAGTTTGCCTTTTTGATTATCATCTGATGTGAGAGCAGGCTTCGAGTTTCAAGTTCACAAACCTATTCAGAGCAGCTCTTTTATTAGCTTGAACAGTATCTGCAGAGTTCTTGTCATCTTTGGCTTTGCTAAAAGAAACTATTTAAACCTAACCAACAAGCAGGGATTCTGGAACTATGAGCAGAGTATCATTTTGTTTTGATAAGGCCATCTAATACTTTGGGCTCTATCTGAAGTTCTTAAATGACCCTGTTTATCTCTTCTGCATCATGGAACCTTTAGTACTGTTCCATGAAACATATTTTTTTAAGACTTCAAATTACTTTTAACCCATTCACTCAATTAAAAACTCTGGCTCCGGGCATTCCTGCCACTGAGGCTGTGAAGCTGAAGGTATTAAATGTAAATTTTGGATTATGTCATGTGTGGCCTTTTTCCCTACCCCCCATGTGCATTTCAGCATAATAGGAAAGACAGAATGAAGTACTGACAGGTGGGAGAAGGTTAGAGCTGGAAAAAAGCAGGTATTTTCTGTGTTTTAAGGGGAAAGCTGAGGTTTTGCAACTTTGGGATCCATTTTGGATTTTTTTTAAACCCTTCCAAAACCCCCAGAAAACAAGCTGGCTTTGTTCTTCTGTTTTCCTCTTGCAGACAGAAGTATTTTCTGCTGATTGTAGGATCCACTGTAGTTACTCTCCCATGTCCTTGCTGCTCTCAGATTAGTGGACTTCTGCATTCTCTCCTTCAGGCAGCTCTTGGAAATAATTTTGGAAATCTAGTTACTGTAGATTGTGGCTCTTGGCTCATACGTGTGAAATTTCACAAAATACTGTAGAGCTGAACATGCTTGGTAGCTCTGGGAGAAGTTTTGATAGCATGCATTCTACTTCAGAAATCTTTCTCACATTAAAACTCTTAAGTATCTCCATTCATGTCAACTCTGAGAATTGTTTCAGTGCAGGTTGCAGAGCTGTACCTTGGCATCTCCCGCTGTAGTTCTGTAGATTGTAAGTTTGTCTTCTTTTGAGATACACCTCTTTATTTCTATCTTGTCTGAGAGAGAACACTGACTACTATCATGTGATATTCTCTTTAAAAATAAAAAGGAGGCCCGGTCTTATTCTTCTGTACTGTGTTATCTCTGTATGTGAGTAAATGTCTACACTTCAGATAAAGTAGAATCATTTGTTTTGTTTTATATCTCCTGTGGTGTGTGGTGGTCCATCTTCTGCTGAAGAGAAACTCTTGGGCTTTCCCTTTCTTTATCAGTGGGAAGGTATTTTTGTGTTATGGCTTACTGGTATACCTAGTTTGATTAAAATAGATGGTTTGTGCTGAGTTTCCTAGGTGTCAAGGTGGGATCAGTAGCATCTGGATTATATGGATACATACTATTGAACTAGATGATTTCTAATACTCATGTTTACTTTCATTCCAGGAATGCACTCCAGAAAACCTGGAACTGAAAAAGAAGATTTTTGGTCAGTTGGATCTTATTGTGGGCGACAATGTTATCTTGAGCAGCTCGACCTCTTGTCTCTTACCCAGCAAATTGTTCACTGGCCTTAAACATGTTAAGCAGTGTATTGTATCACATCCTGTAAGTATGATGGCATGTTTTTTGTTTTTGTATAAGCTGCATCCCAAACTCCTTCCTGCAGACTGAAAGATACAGAAGGGTTTTTGGAGTGTTTGTGTGCGACTGTCAGTGTGCAGGGACCCAACTTTTCAAACAAGGTGTAGTTTGTTCATTCTGTGAGCAGCAGCATTTACTAAATTGAGAGAATATATGCATGTTTCCTACTGTTGGCTCAATATGTCCTGTGTAAGCTCTTGTGCTCATACTGTTGTGTGTTTCTCAAACTACTGGCTTTCAAAATGTTGGAATTCTGTGTTTTGAATACAAATCTCTAACATTGCCTACTTTCTTCTTGTGCCGTGGTTAGTCTTTTGTAGTATCCTTTTTCAGCTGCTTTTGAGTAACAGTAAGAATCCAAACACTGAGCTACATGTGCTTGTCAGGTGATGATGAAAGATGGAAATGTTTGACTCTGGTTTCTTCAGATTTCTGGTGCAGAAGCAGTATACCTGAAAGAGGAATGAAGGAATGATGAAATGGAACAAATTGGACTTGGAGCTGAATTTGCATGCTTCACGGCCAACTGGGACAGGGCAGTGATGCAGAAATGGCATGACTAGAGGTTGCAGCAGAACCTCAAAATTGCGAAGGGTACTTGTGAGCCTCTGTAGAGGTCTATGTAAAACTTGCAGACAGCAGTTTATCACATCTCTTCTCAGCATGGAAGAGGATTTTATCTTGATCACTGGGATTCTTACTGCTTTTGTTTTCTACTACTCAATAAGCTAATGGATTTGTTAGCCCAATGTTAATCTGGTGTTTGACCGATCAATTAAGAGGCCTGTGGTTGTGAAGGTGTACAGTATCTGGAGAAAGGTACTACTCTAGTTTCTGCAATTTGGTAACTGCATCCCTGAGTGTATAAAATAAATGTCAGTTCCCTGGGCATGCTCAAGAACACAAAAATACAGCACTACTTTACTGTAGTGTCTGTACAGCTACCTGTAGCCTAATGCTGTAGTGTCAAAGCATTTGATCAGTCCCTTTCTGACACCCCTCCACCACCATCCTTGTACCTTGGTGTGACTGGATGGCAAAGGGAACAAAAGGATTGGTTTGTTTCTATATAAATAGGTTTTGATCCCTTTTAGTTAAAAAACAAAGTGAAACTTCAAAGTATGTATCTGTGCCTAGATTTAGCCTTTCTCCAGTTTGAAATTCAGTAGTTCCTTATGTCATATTTCCAGGGCTATAACTTTCTGTAGTGCAAGGGAAGAAATAGCGTTCCTTCTAGACTTCTGTATTAAGTAACTATACAATTTTATTTTTTTTTAACCAGTTCCTGGCCACCTGACTGTTTGTCAGTCTTTGATTTTATTGTACTCTGTCTTACTGTTTTCCCAAGTTGGTCTGTACCAGTTGACTTTGTTTAGTCTGAACTGCAGTCTTTATAGGAGCTGCTCCTGAAACCAGGTTTTATCAGATCTGGAAAGGTAGCTAGTCTCTGCATAAGCATTTCCTAGGTTGCTGTTGTAAGGATATATGTATTTTTTCGAAGCAAACGCTTTGGAGTGCCTTAAAATATCTTAATTGTTCTGAAACGGCTTTGTAGTCCAACTGAGACTATTTTCTTAGTAATCTCAGCTGTACTGAGTGTCCTGGAGAACCTGTAAGCCAGTGTACTCTTCTAGGGGCCTTTCTGCATCTGTTATATCAGGAAATATGCTTGTTTTGTAGTAGTCGATGGCTTTTGGTGGGGGTTTTTTGTTTGGTTTTGTGTGTTTTTGCCATTACTAAGATCTCAAACACAACACTTGGTGGCTGCAGGAAGGAAGCAGCTCTGGAAGACACTGAAAACAAGTGTAGAATTTGAAAATTAATTAAAAGCTAAAATTGTAGAGCCTCTGACACAGGTGAGGATGCTGAGATGAAATAAAATGAAGTGCCCTAAGCGCAGAAGCAGCTCATCCCTTTGCTTAACATGGTTCAGTAATTTAAAAAAAAAAGAAATTAAATCCCATAGCACAGCTGTGTGATAGAAATGCACACAATTCTTACAATACAATACAAAACAGCTACAGCTGTTCTCTGAGAGCAGTTTCAGGCAGTGTATCAGTAGAGGTCTGCTGCAGAGTTGTTGTCTCATGTACTATATATGCCTGCTAGGTCACATGACAGAAATATGGAGCTAGAGGAGACTATGCCATTGAGTCAAGTCCCCTGTTGTACAGGAAACCCTTTAATCAAATCATCCTGAAAATGTATTAAATGCTATCTGTTAGTTTTTCTTTTAACTCCATTAGTCCTGTTAGAAGTTGTTTGTGTCTTCTAATTTTTGTTCCAATCTAATTAACAGTCCATTAAAATTAATTTTTATGTATGTTGGTAGCTTTTGTGTAGCTTAATTCTTTCTGGTGTTTTCTTTGTCATATCCTTTCTTAGCTTTCATTTTTGTAGACTAAGGTAACTTTCTGCTTCCTGAAATGCTTCTTATTTTTAGAAATCTTCCCCTATTCCTTATTTCATGTATGTTCTACCACTTTTAGTTTTTACCAACATCTATTATCTCACTCCTAAAAAATTGTCTTCCTGAGTCTCCTCAGTGTGCTCATGAACACACCCATATACTCCCCATGCCAAATTCATGAAATGGAATATTTCAATAAGATCATTGTCAACACTAGTCTTGGAAGAAATTTTTAATAGCTCCAGTCTCCCTCAATAATTAACTTGTCCTCTTTCTGATTGGAACTTGTGATATACTTGTGTGTTAGAAAAGCCTTCAGAGAATGTCCTGGTGCTTGTAGTGTTTTGGGTCTTGCTCAGTTGCCTGACACCACACCTGTGATGGTATCCATCGCGCTGTTCTTGGCGTCAGTGGTGGCACTGCCAAAGAGACTGATGTGAGAGGCTATGTGAGACACAAGGCACTTCAAAGGGAATGAAGTGTGTTACATCAGTAGTTAGAGGAGATGTAACATACATCAGATTATGCATTGGTCAGACCCTACAGTAAAGGGAACCATGTAAATACTGAGAAGAATCACAGAACCACAGAATATTCTGAGTTGGAAGGGACCCACAAGGATCATTCAAGTCCAACTCCTAGCCCTGCAGAGACCATCCTCGAGAGTCACACCATGTGCCTGAGAGCACTGTCGAAATGCTTCTTGAAGTCTGTCAGACTTGCTGCTGTGACCACTTCCCTGGGAAGCCTGTTCCAGTGCCCAACCACCCTCTGGGTTAAGAACCTTTTTCTAATATCCAACCTAAACCTCCCCAACACAACTTCAGGTCATTCCCTTGAGTCCTGGTCACCAGAAGGAACATGCAGAGAGGAAAGACTGTTTGCATGTTGCTGGGACTAAACCCCATACTTGCATTTACATGAGCATAGTAAAGAGTGGTTGACAATAAGGGAGCATGATGAAAGAATCAGTGCTTAATTACCATCCTTTAAATGTTAATGTTATTCCTAGTTGTCATTTATGATATGCTAGCTTCTTCTATTGCCTGGAAACTAGATGGAAAGCTGAGTTTAACACCTTAGGAATAGGGCTGAAGAACTGCTACTTTGGAAAGAGCATGCAAGGCAGTGTTTCTCTCTGCAACACTGTGACCTAAAGAGCTTTTAGCTGTTTCCAGAATCTTCTTAACGATTTTTTGGTTTTTACTTCAAAAATACATTACACAAAGCTCTTGATTTGGGAAGAGTCAGAGAGAGGTAATTTTTTTTTTAAGTACAGTGTTTGAAGGTAACCTGTTCAGCAACATTTTCAAAGTATGTTTTATGTGGTATCTGTTACTGTGTTTAGCATATATTTACAGGCTTGGGCCAGTAGCAGCTTATCTATTAAGTGTTGCATCTTACAGGTGGTGTTTAGCAATATTTTTATTATAAAGCTCCTGAATATCTAAAAGGAAATGCCTTAATTTGGAAAGACAAGTGGTGACCATATGACTTAAAACAACAAGCAGCCTGAATATTGAGAAAGCATCAGTTACTCAAGTCAATATAAAGCCTTATAGTACTGTTTGAGTGCTGTCATCTTTAGTGTAGCTCCATGAACTTTGCTGGGATTAAATAGAGTTCAAGTTAGTGCAAGACTAATTACTTTTTTTTTATTTGAATTAATGCACCAGCTTTTATTGAATTGGTGAAGTCTTTCAGGATCAGAATATCAGGCTTACTGTGTTCACTGGAAAATATTCAAGCTAGTAGCAGCTCTAAAGATGCTTTATATTACCTTGTTCCATTAATGGTTGACATTCTTTTGTGTTTCTTCTTGAGGTAAATCCACCTTACTTTGTGCCGTTGGTTGAAATTGTTCCTCATCCAGAAACAGATCCTTCTACTACAGAGAGAACATATGCCCTAATGAAGAAGATTGGTCAATCTCCTGTCAAACTAAACAGAGAAATTGAGGGGTTTGTTCTGAATCGACTACAGTATGCAGTGATAAGTGAAGCCTGGAGACTTGTGGGTGTATGTATATATTTTTTTTGGTATCTACACAGACACTTGGTCAGTTTTGTAGATGTGACAAGTGAGATGTATATTTAAACTTCCTATAAATCTGTGTCATCTTTGTTAAACTGTCCCTTATGAACATGAAATATATGTTTAACATATAGAGTAAAATCGGTAAGAAGTGATGTCAGTTACAAATAGCAAAGACTGGAAAAAACAAAGTGATATGTGATCATAACAACTATTCTTTATCCTGCTTTCTTTTCAGAATATTGTTATTTTCAGAACAATAAAAAGAAAAATCTTAAAAGCATAGAAATCAAAATACCGATTTTTCTTTTTCATAGGCTGTCTCATAATTTCCTTTTATTTTTTTTAATGTTGCTGGCCTGCTGGACATTGGTTATTAAAATAATATTTGAAATGGTTTTCCCTTTGGCCTTTCAGGAATTGCACTCATAGGTTCAACTGTTACTTGATACTTGTAGGTAAAGACAGATTTCTGCTCCTCCTGCCCATTCAGACTTCTAGCTGAGAATCATTTATTTGTGTCCCTTCAGCTTTTCTCACAGTTACCTGTTCTGTTCTGAAAAGTCTGATCTTTCATCAGCAGGAGCTGAGTTATGAGTCTGTTGCTATTCTCTTGAGATGAGTTTCAACTGGGCTTGAATAGGGCTTACTTTTTTGTTGTAGAGTGTGTTTTGACTTTTCAAGCTGTTTAAAACAACCATGCACACAAATGTAGGTTAAGATCTTTAAGGTAATATTATCACAAATAAAGCTAGTCTTTTTCCAAAGAAGTATCTCAACATAGTTGCTGAACTGATTTTGCTTACCTGTAGCTGGCTCTCGCTAGCAACATAATACAGCAATATAAAGGAGGTGGTGAATAATAATAAGGAAAACAATATTGTTAGGAAGGAACTGATCTTCTGCAGATATTTATTTAAATTTTAAAAATTGCTTTCGTTATTAAACATTTAATACAAAGTCTCAAGTTTATGAAAAGAAAAACCCCTTCAGAAAGCTGTAATTATGTTGAAAGACATAGGATAGAAAGGGTAGTAACACAGGATCACAGAATACTTGGGGTTGGAAGGGACCTCTGGAGATCATCCAGTCCCACCCCCTTACTAAACAGGTTGCACAGGATCACGTCTAGGTGTTTTTGAATATCTTTAGAGGAGAGTACTCCACAGCCTGTTGCAGTGCTCCATCACCTTCAAAGTAAAGAATTTTTTCCTTACTGTTCAGATGGAACTGTCTGAGTTTGTAGTTTGTGCTTGTTGCCCCTTGTCCTGTGTGCTGGGCACCACTGAAAAGAGTCTGGTCCTATCTAAATTAACCTCTAAATTATTTTTGAAACCATAGAAATACTGATGAAAAGAAATATTTTTGAGAATAAAAATGTAAAACAATTACTACGAATTGTGGACAAGGAAGGTAAGTTCATGAGAAGAAAGGTAGCTGAACTGCAGCATTCCCTTCTTGAAAGGAAGAGATCTGACGCAGAATAAGTCACTCTAAGAACAAGGTTTTTGGAGGAAGAAAGAGTAGATGAGTAATGACAGACCGTGAAAGAGAAATGGAACTGCTCTGAGGATCATAAAACTGAAATGTGAAGTTGATGAAATACTAATTTAAGTGCTGTTTTACGCACTGTCTAGCAAAATACTGCAGAAATAGAAGTTAGCACACTGTAGGTCTTTTAAAAAAATCACAGAGACTTTGGGAAATTGGGGACCAGTAAGTCTGATAACGTGTAGGCACATTGATATAATACCCTTGGTTAGCACAGGTATTCAGGGCAATAATGTCTCAAAAATCTAGTAGGATTCTTTCACATCTCTGAGGGCAAACTCAGTTGTGGAGGCTGCTGCCATAGTAACCTAAGATGCTAAATTTGAATGGGATCACTTAGGCACATTCATGTTAGACTGTGCAGAAGCAACCTCCAGTTGTCAAGGGTCTCAAAGACTAGACTGCTGGGAGCTGAGGCAGTACATATCATTGAAAGTATCAATCTGTGTTTGGTCTTCAGCTGTGGAAAGAGTGCAAGAACACTTCATGGGTTACTATTGAAAGGAGGTATTGAATTGAGGTGAACCTTTAGTATGAATCCGTATGGATGCTTTTGTGTGTGTGGTGGTTATGTGAGTAGTGATAAAATAGGGCTTGAAGCACTGACAGGTAATTAAAGTTGCTTTTGTTGTGCCTCATCGAAGTTTTAAAGTTGTTCTGTTCTTGTATAAAGTTACCACATTTCAGGCAAATGTACGTTTAAACTGTAACAACTTTGGTGGCTGTATTTCCATTCCAGAAGCCTGAACAAATAGCAGCTGTCAAAGCTGTATAGTTTCAGTTCTGTGACTTCAGGCTGCACAGTACCTTTGATGGAAGGAGAATCACTGCAGATAGGTTAGAGCTGCAGGCCTGGGGCAGTTTGTGTTTCTACTGTTGTGCTGCCAACATAGTAATTTTTATTGCAAGTCATGTTCTTTTGGTGTTTTCCACTTTCCAAATGGAGAGGAATACTTCTTGCTTCTAACTGTTAAGTCACTTTTCAGATCTTATTGTTGAAAACATCAGCCTCCCCAGCTCTTAGTCTTTGAGAGACTCCTAAAAATCAAGTTTTACTCACATTGATTATGTCTGTAACAAATGTTTTCCTTACTCTACATAGCACCTGGGGGTGGAAGATAAACTGCAAATGATAGCAGGAGGAACATACTAATAATGCATTCTTGACCAAAATAACCACACTGTTAATCCTGTGAATGCAGGACTGGACTAGATATGGGAGTGGGAATTGTGGAGTTAAGATGATAAAAAATTAAGAGGCCTGAAAGTTGAGATTTGAATTGTAGGAAGGTAGGAGAATGAAAACTGATTTGGAGACGTACAATTAGGTGCTGAGAACTTTGGTCATGTGGACAATTAGGGTCAAAGGATGCAGAAGTTTGACTTTACAAGAACTTAGAAGCAAAGACCATAAATTCATTTATGGGTTTAAAAGACGTAATTCAAGCAAGGGCTTCCCTTTGAGGCAAGAGTGCTACAAAGAGATGTTTCATTTTGGATGTGAGTTACTCTTCTTGTGACAAGATGTCTTTTTGACCATTGTTTTGACTTGCATGTCATGAGCACACGGGCAATGCAGGTGTTTGTGGCAGGAACTTTTTGCATCAGTTATCTTTGTCTCCTCATGCTCCACACTTACTCCATGAAAAAGCAGATACCAGGATACCAAAAGCAGATACCAATCTCTTTAAGGATTGGGAACTTTCTGTAGGACCTCATAGCCTATGTGAGACTGAGGTTCTTGTAGATTTCTTGTTTATGTTTTTAGTCTTTAGGTCTTTGGTAGAAGTGTTGCAAAACTGATGATTATGAGAGTAAAAGATGTACTGTGAGGTCAAAGATCTTTATTCCTCTCAACCCTAAATTTTGATATTACTAGTTTGTAACCATTAGAATACTCTGTAGCCAGTAATGAAAAATATCTCAAACTACTTTCTCTGTTAGTCTCTGTTACCATTTATTTACTTTCTCACATCTCCATTGACAGTGGTCACAAGTCTATCTGATTGTGTTCATAATTCCTTGGAGCAGAGACTTACTGCCTTTATTTGCCTGGGAAGCACCCTGTGCACTGTGGACAGTATTACTTTTGTACTTTTACTAGTACCAATGCATTTTATAGTAGTTTGGTATTACATTGCAAAAGCTTGTTAGTTAAATAGCTTGACTTTGTCTTGTTCTGAAGGTACAGTTTTGATAGACATAACCCAGAAAATATCAACCAAACGGTTTCACCAACACTTCAGTTCAGAAGTTGCAAGCCTTACTCTGAATATCTAGGACTGTCCTTTAACTGTGGATTATTGAGTGGAATCTTAACTTTTTGAAGTATTTTTTTAAACATCACCTGGAATTTGCCAGAAGGTCATAAAATACAGCAGCAGAGATAACAAAGGGAAGATGACAGTTTTTTAGCCTTGATATAATTTAGGAGTTTCAGCTGCTTTTAAGAATGCATTAAAACTGCTTTGCAGGATGGATTGTGTAAATATCTTAAGAGTCTCTGCTTCCCTCTGTATGAGTTTTTAATACTGTCTTAAATGTGTTTTTTTTCTTCACAAGCGGGCTTTCTTTTATGTTGTAGTCATTGTAAAAGACGAGAAGAATGGGCAGCCTGCTGTTTTTGTTAATCTTTCGGAAAATAGTCACACCATTTTAATTTGTTTTCACAACGGTCAGATGCATTGTCTTAAATCCTTAATTTATGTACCCTTCCCTTCTCAAGTGATTAGCTTAGCAGTCCTTAAATGCTGGCAAGACTTATTGAATTCCAAATTCCTTACTATTAATTATATTTCAGCATTATACAGAGGACCTTTCCAGAAGATCAAAGATAACATATAGGGTTAAACATCTAGTTACAGTGCCCCATGAAAGGGGGAACATCATAAAAGGAAGTTGAAAGGGACAGGGATAAAATGTTGATGTTGATATTAAGTGTTTCTTACAGTGTGAGGTGAGTGAAGGTGCCATGGAAGAAGGAAGATAAAGGCCAGCAAAGTAGGTGTGAAGTGTGTAGGACAACAAGTTTCTCAAACATTATGAAATGCGCAGAGATGAAGCTGGTAGAGCGATATAGGAGAAAAGTTATCTGCTCAAAATGACAGGACTGGAAAAAGATCTCATCAGGGTGTATGTAGATGGAAGGGACTTCATTGAGGTGATAGTGAAGAGAAGGGTGTAAGAAGTACTGCTGAGAGAGAATGCATATGTTAGTGACAATCAGAAAAAAAAGAATACTGGATTTGGGAGATACAGAGAATGAAGTGGAATGAAGAATGAAGATTTGAAGACAGAAGGTATGTGGTCCAGGAGGCAGCGGAGTCCAGAATAACTCTATAAACAGACTGGAGTGAGTAGAAGAACATGATGAATTGGTAGAATGAAAAAAAGTAAGATTGGGGGGTTTTGGCCATGCTACATCTAATATAATTACAAACCAAGTCAGTGACAGAAGTTGTGATGTGAGTGTGAGTCACAGATGTAAAGACTGTTGATTAAAACCAAACAGATTGGGTCAAAGCATAAAGGTGGATACTGCAGAACCACCGCAGGTTTTTGGAGAGGTGAAAAGGGTCCCTGCATAGAGAGAAGCACTAATAGAATACCAAAGGCTCATTAGGACAGTACTGTGGCATCACTGGAGATTAAAATCTCCAGGAAAATGAACTTGTGATGTCATAAGAAGTGTGGATGATTCTGAGCTGGTCTAGATTTTGAAGTTTGACTGGCCATTGGGACCACTGAGGATTCTGGTGGAATTTTTTTTAAATTAAGAGCTTAATTCTGTAGCTTCAAGAGCTTCTAGTGAGCTTTTAATACACTTCCTCTTCCCTCTGACAAGTGCTGGAGGCGAAGGCTTACAAGAAGGGTAATCCAGGATGAAAACTCCCCTTGGGAAGATTATTTCACACCTAGACTTAATGAAACTGGGTTGGAACTCTTTCTTGTTTGGTGCTTAGCATAAACACCAGTCTTTGTGGAAGACACTTTGCTAACCTTGCACCCACCCTGCTGAATCATTCCACCAACTTATGATGTCCTTAACGTAAGTGGGTGTAGGATTATTCCCTAGGGGAGGACGGTCTAACTTGTTTATCATTTATGTGTTTTTAATTTCTGAAGAGAAAAAGCAAAAACCTTTTCTTTAAGAGAGTCTGTGTGACAAGAAGCTGAGCTTGTGTGTATAAAATACTATATCTCTCAGCTCAAGGGATCTGTCATGTTTTCCTCCCAGTAGCAACAATTCTTGCCTTTTAGCACCTGTAAACATCAACTGCAGCTATAGTCAAAAGACCAAGAGCAAAGCACTCATGTCATGACTCAGAGGGCACCTGGTCTTCAAATGTCAGTATCAAAGCTGAGGACTATGGTATCAAATAAATAAATAAGTATTTAATTTGAAAATTAATTTGCAATTATTCTGAAGTGCTTCAGGAGCCTGTTAACTCTTTTAACGCTGTGTTTACAGTTTTTAACTGCTGCTGGGGTTCAAACGCTTGTCCGGAATTTGTGGTTAATCTTTTGTCCACGAATACATGTCAACTGGGGTGGGGGTGGGGAGAAACAAACACTCATGGAGCACAGCTTTACCAGCATAACTCATTGTTTGAATGAAGCACTCCCAACAGAAGAGCACTTTTGTTGACTTTGCTGATGTTGTTCAGAGAAGTTGTGTTGCCACGTCAGGAGAAAAAGCTTTCACAGAACCTATGATGCCTGTGTTAGTTACACTGATGCTGGTCTGTAATCTGAATTCTGTCTGAGGTTTTCATTTAGTCCTGTCTTTGTGCAGACCTTTCTGTCTGCCTCTAGATGAGTTACTTTACCATGCCTATGCTTTACCTTTAAGTTGAAGAAAATAATGCTTTCTTATCCCTGCCGTTTACTGTCTAATTAAATTGTTACCAGAACCATGTGTTCCATATATAGTGCATAGATCTTAATAATTCTGTTAATGTTTTCTTTTCAAGGTAGAGTTATAAAGTCATTTGCAACAGGGATTCAGACAGGCTTGTTTTTGATAGGAGCAATTGACAAGTTGAGACTTGAGATCATCTTATAAATGTCTCTATTTAAGCCTGAGATGACAAAATGATGTCTATGGCCAGCTGTAGAAGTTATGTTGGTTCTTGGCTTATAACTTTCTTTTAAAGCAACAGGAGATGATGGAGATGATGAACACAGGAAGACACTATGGGGTGAGAATTAAGTCACTTAAGATGGGATGTCTACAATGTAGACTTTGACATCTAAGATCCTTACTCATCTTTCAATCAGTGAGGAGAATTAGGCCCTTTTAGGACACAACTCATCTTATCTATTCTAGGAGCCTGCTTTAGGATGCTGATTTCCTTTTTCTCCCTAGTGATTACAAAGAGAGTCTAGATGTCTAACTCAGATGTCACTGTCTACCACAGGTTGTTGTCCTGTGTGCCTGTAACTGTAGCTGATGCCTGTGTGTTATAAAGGGGCATTCAGGCAGGGCCCTGCAAGAGGGAAATTTAACAGAAAAAGATGTGTCTTTGGCCAAGCAAATGTGTATGCGTACTTGTATTCTGCAGCTCAAAGAGGCTTGTTAGTAAAGAGGCACTCAGTGAGGACAGCACCTCAGAGTAGGGTGAGAGGACAAATTAGAAGCAGTTCAGAACCTCTTCTGCCTTCCTAAACCTGAAGGAAATGTTTTCATGTCTCTGTGAATAAAGAGGACAAATTCTTGAAACTAAGCTTTGTCTGACAGAATTGGTTAGAACAAGTTTTAGTTAATTCATATCTTTCTAGTAGGTGAAAACAACCTCATGTAGTAAATAGTATTCTTCTCGAAGAAATCTGTTAAGGTAATGAACTGTAACTCATTTTTTTACAAGCTTTCCTGTGCTTGCCCTAACCTGATGGAGGCGTTGGCTTTCTTGTAAGTGCTACCATGCGGGTGGAATAGCAGTGCTCAGGTTTTAACACCAAAATGCTTCATTTTGCATACTCTGTATCCTACCAGCTCGGAAATGGGAGGCTGGCAATGAACTTGAGAACCCTGGGCAGGTTGAGACTGGGTAGGTTGAATGTTTGATGAGTTTTTTGGGAGGGAGTGGCAACTGCATTGCCTGCATGTTTGGTCCCAGCTTTTTTTGCAGGTGGCCTCAGGAGTAGTACCCACTGCTGCACTGCCATTCTGCTAACTGTGACTCTGCCCAAAAAATCCAAACCCAAGAGAATATGAGGGAAGGTGTAACATTCAGCTAAAACTCCTGTATTTGAAAGAGTTACTATGGTACTTAGATTTGATATAAACTCTTCTGGTCATGTGCTATTAAGAGTGTCATGCTTGCTTGCTTCTCTGATTCTCAGTTACTGGGGAAAAAAAGGATATTGGTTAACATACACAGCTCTAGTTTAGTTTTAGTACATGAATTATTGAAAGTAACAAGTATCAGGCAAACTACTGTGTACAAATAGTACATACTATATGTAAAAAGTATATTAATTTATAAATTAAAAAAATACTGTGAAAATGTATCAAAGTGGACTATGAAGTACAGCAATCTTAGAGATATGAATGAGTGCCTATACTGAACCAAAGGAAGGTTTGCATAATAGATGGACATTTCTGGCAAGCAGTTTTGTTTCTCTTTGCAAACTAACTGCTATTTCTGACCTCAGTTTTTATTACTTCTTTAATTTTTTAATTATATACAAAACCTGTGAAATTTTATATTAAAAGCAAACATTCACCACCCTTCCTTCCTGTTCTACTTTTGCTGCTTAGGAAGGAGTAATATCTCCTACTGATCTAGACCTTGTGATGTCTGATGGATTGGGAATGCGATATGCATTTATTGGACCTCTGGAAACCATGCATCTTAATGCAGAAGGTAGGTAGTTTAAAATGTTATGAATATGAAGGGAAGGCTTACATTGCACAAGACTCTGGAAATATTGTGTAATAAAACCATGTTAGGATTGCTGCAACTCTGGCTTGTCTCTTTCTTTATTGTAATGGTAAGAAAAGGAAAATTTACCTAAAACTTGAGGTTGATGGAAGGAAATGGATATTGACTATTCTGTTGTAAATGATCAGATGACAGATGACAAATCATTAAAACACTAGCTGTGTAATTAATTTTTTCCAAGATTCATCCCAGTGCTTTGACAGCATTGCTGTACCCATAGTTCAGGACTGTCTGAGTGTCAGGAAAAGAAAGTATTGAAAAAGTTCAGCTGATAATCCAGTGTCGACAGAAAATCACTTTCCATAGATGAGTGCTGCCCTCCCCGAATTTGTAGCAAGAGCTTGGTGTAAATATCACTGGAGCTGATGTGCTTTAAGCTGGCTTAGATCCTGAGTGAAGTAAAATTACTTTAGTCACATAATACTGTGCATACGAAGTTGACTTGACAAAGCAGTCAAGTAATGGTTCAATATCTGTCTTGCATAATTAAGACAGATTTTTAGATGTTTCTGGAATAGTATATATGAATCCTGGCTAAATAAAAAGTGAATTTCATAAAATGAAAGAAAAATTGTGGATCAGTGTTACAAAGACTGAGCAAAGACTTTAGCAAAATACAAAAAACTTCAAGAAATGAAGGTCAACTAAAAACTAACTTGTTTTATTATGGGCTGTGCCTTTATTCTGCTTTTGTATGGTCCCTAACAGGGAGGTCCCTGCAACAGTAAAATAAACAAAAGTATAATACAATAGTAAAATAAAAATAAGAAACCAAGATCATAAAATACCAGTGCACAATTGAAGTGTTATTTTACTTCTGCTTCTTGGTTAGTTACTTAGCAGAAGCTTATGTCTCTTAAGGCTGACTAAGCAATTTGCCATGAATGTAGAATTGTGGATGCTCTACCAGAGTCTTTCAGCTTGTCAGTTTGGTTGTATATCAGGAAATTAAATGTCACACAGTGTTTGCTTTTGTGTATTGTTAGGTAAACAACATTCATCCTCTAAATAGAGGCACCTTTCTAAAAGTTTCCCTCTTCTGATATATTAATATCTAGCAGTTTCCATTCTCTCTAGTGATTTTAGACTTACTCAGTATAACCAAATACATTCTTTATATAAAACAGATGCATGTAGCACTAGCCTTCAGCACAGCAAACTACCTGTCTTGCAGGGTTGTTCTGTCCAGCCCCTACCATTCCACTAAGCTCTCATGCCATCCTCTGCAGGAACCATCCATGCACAAGGTCTTCTGTCAGAATAACTTGTTGAACTGCCTCTACTAAAACATAAAACTGAAACAGAATGTTTATTAATACCAAAAAAATGGCAATCCATTTTAGAGATCAAATCATGCTTGTGAATCCTTTTTTTTTCTTATCCATATTTTAGACTCCTGAATTCTAAAACAATGTTTACTTGAGATAAATGGAATCATGTAAGTCATCTGGGTTGATTTTGAGGCTCTTCCTGGAGTGCTCTTTGGCATTTAGTGTTCTATCATGATCCAGTTTAGCTTCCTTCTTCCTATCAGGAAATAGTCATTGCTACAGAAACATTTCTGAAATTTCCTGTCTCAAACCAATTTTAGGTAACACATGAAACTGGTAGGTTGTTTATTAATGGCAGAAATTATCCAGCTTCTAGATTTAATGATTCCTTCTATTAATATGTTGGGAAGAAAACTTGGGAAATACAATCCAAGTGACTGATAAACCGAAAGAGTAGTCTGGTGATAGGCTTGCAAAATACAAAACCAAAATACACCTGTAGAGTTATTTTAACATTAAATAATATTCTCAATTAAAAATAACCCCAAAATAACATATTTAGTACACTTGTGTACTGGACCACTTCCACCATTGTTCAATGACTTGGATCATGAGAAGTATTGCTTCACTCCTGCCCTTGCAGATGCATTGTCTCTGAGTCTAGAGCTCCTCCTCTGTATGTGCTCACAGACTGACTCAGGCTCTTGCCCTCATCAGTTTAAATCAAAATTGCTGATGTCAGGACATGTGATGGCTTATGTTCATAGTTCCATTCCAGTGCTAACTTCTCTTCAGTTGTCCACTATTGCTTCACATAATATGAATAGTATGGACCTCCTCTTGTTTGCCAAGGGTTTTCTTGACTAACCTGATCTTCTATGGTAAGATGACTCACTTAGTGCATGAGGGACAGGCTATGTGTGTTGTTTGCCTGGACTTTTAGTAAAGCCTTTGACACTGTTTCCTATAGCATTCTTCTGGAGAGGCTGGCTGCTCATGGCTTGGATAGGTGTATTGTTCACTGGGTAAAAAACTGTCTGAATGGCCAGAGAGTGGTGGTGAAATGGAGTTATATCCAGCTGGGGCCCAGTAAATAGTGGTGCTTCCCAGGGCTCAGTATTTGGGACAGTCCTATTTAACATCTTCATCAATGATCTGGACAAGGGGGATCGAGCGCACCCTCAGTCAGTTGGCAGACGACACTAAGTTGGGTTGGAGTGTTGATTTTGTGGAGGACAGGAAGGCTCTGAAGAGGGATCTGGACAGGCTGGATCCATGGGCCAAGGCCAACTGTATGAGGCTCAACAAGGCCAAGTGCTGGGTCCCACACTTGGGTCACAACAACCCCATGCAGTGCTACAGGCTGGGGGAAGAGTGGCTGGAAAGCTGCCCAGTGGAAAAGAATCTGGGGGTCTTGGTTGACAGTGGATGAACATGAGCCAGCAGTATGCCTAGGTGGCCAAAAAGGCCAATGGCATCCTGGCCTGTATCAGCAATAGTGTGGGCAGCAAGATCAGGGCAGTGATTGACCCCCTGTGCTCGGTACTGGTGCGGACACACTTTGAATCCTGTGTTCAGTTTTAGGCTCCTCACTACAAGAAAGACATTGAGGTGCTGGAGTGTGTCCAGAGAAGGGCAACGCAGCTGAGGAAGGGTCCAGAGCACAAATCTTATGAGGAGCAGCTGGGAGTGTTTAGCCTGGAGAAAAGGAGGCTCAGGGTAGATGAGCCTCTGCAACTACTTATCGCTCTCTGCAACTACCTGAAAGGAGGTTGTAGCCATGTGGGATCGATCTCTTCTCCCAGGAAACAAGTTATAGGACAAGAGGGAATGGCCTCAAGTTGCACCTTGAGGTGGAACCCTCAAGGGAAGGTTTAGATTGGATACGAAGGAAAAAGACTTCGTGGAAAGGGTTGTCAAGCATTGGAACAGGGTGCCCAGGGAAGTAGTGGAGTTGCCATCCCTGGAGGTACTGAAAAGACATGTAGATGTGGCACCTGGGGGGACATGGTTTAGTGGTGGACTGAGCAGTGCGGGGTTAATGGTTGAACTTGATGATCTTAGAAGTCTTTTCCAGTCTAAATGACTCTGTGACAACCTGCTCTGAAGCACTGTACTAATACTGTCTATTTTTTATCAGTGGAGGGAAATGGAGGTAGATATAAGAAACCCCCTCTATCCATTTTGTTAGCCTGTCTATCAGCTTCACCAGCTTCACGGCAGCTGCCTTTCTTTACAGCTGTAAGATATTAGTTGCCCACAATCTTAAAACTCTGTTAATGTGAGAGAAAAATAGTGTTATTTGTAGGAGAGTCTGTCTTTTCTTTTTTTTTTAGGGTGATATGACATTTTTGTTTGGTTTTGAATAAGGAATATTATTCCAATTATTTTTTCTGAAGTCAGTGTTTCTTCTTTCCCTGTGGGATGCATACATCAAGATCTTCCCATGAACTTCCTATGTGCTAGTGCCTTGTTTCTGCTGTGTTAGTTCATAAATGATCCTATCAAACCTATTATCCAGGCTACTTTAGGTTACCAGTTAATCCATGCATGAGTATTAGGAATGTTGAATATATGGCAGTGAGCCAACAGCCTTGAACATGAAATAAAATGACAGCATCAAGTCATCAAAAGAAGCAGAAACCCCACCAGCATATTAAGAACTGAATTGCAACAGACAGGAAGGAAACTGCTTTGGGGGGGCAAAAAAAGCACATCCGAGTGGTTCATATTGACTCAATTTAATTCCTTGATCCAGCTCACAGACCTGCAGAAATGTTTGTGCATTGCTGTTGAGGTGATAATATAGGAACAGCGAGAATAAAACTTTTTTGGGTGCTACTGCTGTCTTAGGGTAGTCAAAAGTATTCATACAACTAGAATTTGAAGTGAATTCATATGGGAATTAATGTAGTGTATGAAGCGTCCTGTGAATTCACACCCTGACTAAGAGCATGCATCTGTGTTAGACACACCTTTGCTGAAGATAGGATTACATTTAGAAAGTTTCCCTTGGAGCTGTAATGTCTAGAAATGTAATTCCTCCATCAGTAAAACAGAGTTTGGGACCGTTGTTTCTCTGAACATAACCTAACCATGTCAGATTGCTCCAGGATGTTCCCAAAATATGCCCCTTCTTTTCTACTGTCATCCATACTCATCTTTCAGTGCAGCTACTTCTTAGATTTTATGTGCTAAAGTCAACCCCACCCCAGTCTTTTCAAGTTGTTGATGCTATTGCATCAGTGGCTTGACCATCTTAGCAGCTCTTTTTGAGTCATTACAGTATCTTGTTATGCTGTTCATCAGGTTGAAAGTCATCAAGTTAATACTCGGTATCATGAAGCACCCTCTCTTTGGCGTGTTCCCTGACCATGCCAGTAACACTTGCTCCTGTCTCTTGCTCTCTTTCACAAATATCTCAGTGCCTTCCTTGTTTTGCCCCATGTGTAGTCTCCTTGTCAGACTGGTTTACCAAGTTTGCTTGCTTGCATCCCTCATGCCTGTTGTCTTTCTTATGAAGAGAAAGGAAGAAGCTGAGGTACTTCAAGATGCTTACAAACTATAATGCATGAATATACTACATTTTATACTGTTGCATTTTCCCTTTCTTCCTGCTACTCCCATCACCTTTCTCTTTATGAACTTCACTTGTGAAGAGGTCTTCTTGGGGCAGTGAAGCATTTTATGCATGTTTCTAAGCTAAATATCTGTTCTGAGTTATTTTTTCTTCATCAATGTCGTGTTCATCTTGATGATGCAACTAGAGGCATTTCAGCAAGAACCATGTTTGCACCACACCAGTGCAAGTCCTTCAGGTAAGGACCTGTAAACCTGAAGTGTGGTTATTTGGACAAATTCTTGTGGGACAGTTCGTTAGCCATTTTGGAAACTGCCCGGACTCCTACTGAAGCTGAATAAGTAGCAGCTTATTCCTTTGGTGGTGGTGTAAAGAGCCTTGTGTGTCCTAGATACATATGGGCAGCTGAAGAGCCTTGAATCAATGCCCTTGTCTAGCCTGTGATAACATGTTCCTGTAACTATATTGTAGAAGTCAGAAATGCTGAGATGGGTTTCGAACTTTCAAGGAAGGTAGGGTATTTGCCTGTTCTTCTCTATAATCATGCATCCACTTTAGAACTTTTTGTTACCTCAAGAAGAGGTTCTTTCAATCTCTGCCATAGCTGTGACTAAGTGGTGGAAGGAAGATTCAAGGAATTCCTGCCTTCCCTGGAGGTAGTTCTGCCTTGTGTTCATAGTTCCCAATTGCTTAAACATCTGCCTTCTCCCACAGCCTTTTCTCCAAAGCTGATGAAGCAGGGAGCGTGTGCAGGGAAGATGGAGGTTTAGACAGGGAGCCAACAAACCACATAGACAAGAAGAAGCTATCATCCTCTTTCTCTGTCCCAGATGCATCTTGCGTCATTCTTGTTCTCCAGTTAGAGGTAGTGAGGCACAGTGTGGGTGCAGCAACTGGATGCAAGAAGAGATGGTTGTTTTTAACAACCCCATTTGCCATCTTCTTCCTGTTTCTCCATCTCTAGGGTGCTCTCCTATCTGTCTCACGCTGTTTACTAATGCTAATTCTTTAAGATTAAGCTGCTCCCTGGGTAGTATCAACAAGGATTAAAGTTAAAGGGATTCTGTCATTTGTTTTCCTCCTTCTTGTCCCTATGCTCTAGTCAAGGGCTCTTCTCATCCACCTTTGCAATAGCCCTGACCTTTGAACCAAAGGACTCCCAAGACTAAAGACCTGGAGTCAAATATTTGCTAATTTTAAGTTTGCAGTTGAAAAGCAAAGTGATTTTTCCAGCAATATTCCCCATTGCTCAAGTGCCCTCTTCAAGCCAGCAGCATACAGTTGATCCTGATTGCTGAAACTAAATTAAAATTGCAGTTGTCTCCACTGACATTTCACACTGGGAGTACTACCTTGGGTTAGTTATTTTAAAACTATTATTTTTTTAGTCCTTGGCTGAGACTATGTGTGTATTCTAACTTGGTCTATTTCCCTCACTTGAGACTTGAAAGATTCTGCAGTGCCCCCTCCCTGCTTGGTGTGCAGCATACAGGCCTGCATGTTGCCATTTCAGCCACAATGTTGAGATCAACTGCACTAATGCTGCTGCTCTTCTCTAGACCCATAACTTTTTTTCCCCACCTTTTCCTATTTTGCTGACTTTATGTAAGGCTTCTTTTCATTCATACATTATGTGCAGTAAGTAAATTGGATTACCCAGCCTGCATTTGGCATGTCTCTGAACCGATGAGCTACACCCACCCAGAAATTGTTCTGATTCATTCAAAGTGAGCTACCAGTAGGAGCTCAATTTTCAAGTCTAGCTGGCTGAGTGAGCTTTGAAGGCCATATCCAGCTCAGAAGTTCACATTCACCGGGTAAATGGATCAGCCATATCCGTTCAGCATTCCTAAGATACTATCTCTTTAGCTCTTTAGCTTAAGGCTGATGAAAAAGACTTCTGGCACACAGTCTTCTATTCTACCTTCTCCTGACTGTACCAAAATCAAAACTACCAGATTTATGATATTATTAAACTAGCTTACCAAATGTTTGAAAGGTATCCCTTGATTTTTGGAAAAGTACCAAACCCAAACTATTTAGCACTGGTCTAAGTGTCATAGACCTGTGTCAGCTGGATAAGCACCAGAATAATTGGTAGCTGACACTGCTCTGTTTACCATATCCGTTCACTGCAGCACTCCAGCTGTGTGAGACATCCCACCACACCACAGTTGCTCCAACAATGTTGTAGTTGTTTGACCGCACTCTTACTTCCCCTGGTTGTTTTCCAGCTGCATGCATTTGTGCATATACACTAGAGTGGACTCCTTCTGCCTTTTTTTGTACTTTGAGATTTTTCTTGTACCTGTTACCCTGCACTCTTTTCTTTCCATCCCCATACACACCTTCCTCTCTTGATTACTGGTTGTAATCTCACTTTTCCAGTGATCCTAATATAAAACTTTTCTCACCAGATTGGCCAGGTTTTTGGCGACGATGCTTTTTCTCCTCTTTGTCAGGTGGATCCTGTCTCCCCCTACAAGTGTTCAACCTTCAAAGAGGGTCATAAAAGTCAAATCCCTGTCACTAACACCAGTTACAATATAAGGTATTGATCTGCAAGATCATCTGTTCCTCCTTAGGTGTTTTTCCTTCACTAGAGGCCACCTGGGTCTCCATGCCTTCGACCCTTTCCCCCTGAGCCATGTTGTTCTTGATACACTCCAGGTTCATAAATAAAAATAACAGGAATGCTGCAATGGATATGACACATACTGAACAGGAGGAGAGGAGAGGTGAGAGCACTCTCCTTGTGGACACTGGTCAAGGAGGCTTTCTTGTCTCAAGTAAAGCTGTGGTTGTGTACTACACCCCTCACATAGCATTACCTGCTGGTATGTAACATTAGCTGGTTTTGCAATGAAGGTGTGTCCTAAATGATTTTTCCATGAACCTTAATGGAAATGTAGTGGTTAGAATCCATTTTTCCTTGATGACAATTAGATGTCTTAATCATAAGAGCAGACCATTTTTTGGGTGTCTGATATAAGACAGTGTTTAAGCACAGGCAGCCTTACTGACCTTAACTAGGAAATTTTGTTGAAATCTAACTTTTCACTCTTATTTTTAGGTATTGCAAATTATTGTGAAAGATACTCTGAAGGAATGAGACTTGTTCTGAACACCTTTGGGCCAGTTCCAGAATTTTCAGGTGAAATTGCGCAGAAAGTCAATCAGGTAAATACGAAATTGATAAAAACAGTGCCACTCAGAACAAAGAATATTAGCTTTTATTTTAAAATTTGTACCATTTCAGTTAACTGCTATAGGTATCCGTAGTCTGTACTTATTGTGTGAATATGTACTTTAAGGAAGAAGATTCCTTGCTGTATAAACCCTGTAGCTTTTTTCCTTCTGGGTGTTCTTTTTCTTGTTTTCGTGTGCTTTACAAACTAGAGTTCCAGTCTGTAGTGCTGCAAATACATGTTTAAGTTAAGCATGTGAGCAGTCTGGTAAGGTTACTTGCATGTTTAAAGATGTTTTAAAGTGCTGTTCTGGATTGGGATCTAGTTTATCTATTAACATTTGTAAGCCCACAATTTGTTTATACTTACTATGTAGGCTGTTTTGAATGACCATAGGAACTAACTGAAGTGTTTCCTAACTCTACCTTTTTTAATGCTTCACTAAAGAACGCATGTACGTGTTGGATCATTTCTGATCAGCTATCAGAGATTCATTCGAAATATGGAGGCAGTCTGTCTGGAAGATAGCATTGTTTTGTTTCTTTTTATGTTAATGCAATTTCAACATGAGCTATGTTAAAAAGGAGAAGAATTCTTTTGTGCTTTAACAACATAGATTGCTTATAATAACAATCAATAATAATTGTGGAGTCATTCACAATTAGCAGCTTTTAATTTGCATGAAAGACTTCGGGGTTTTTTATAAAAAGCTGGATTCCACTTCAACATCTCTTTCTGTGTCTCTTTATTATCTTCAGTCTCCAACACCAAAGATGGGCTTGCAAGGATCCTTTCTTAGAGTAAATCATTAGACATTTCTTATCTTACTTCTCTGTCCCTCCTGCTGATTTTTTCCTGGAGTGACCACAGCTTGCCAGTCATTGGTAGCAGGTCCTGGTTTTACCCAGTTTCTCAACACTTGATTTTTAAGCCTAAGACCTCAGGTACTCTTTTGGCAAAGATGACCTTGTAATCTTTACCTGCTCTCTCAAAAAAACTGCTTTTTCTTTGGCACTTCTAAGGACTTCAGTTGTACACTCAGAAATACCTTTTTTCCCCCCTGAGTTTGTTATGTGTCTCCCTCTATCATTTTTATTATAACTGACACTCTTAAGACAAAATGTTTTTAATAAACGTGGTATCCCTCATTACATTTATTGGGAACCAGAAGAGACATCACAGCTCTAAAAACACACACAAGAATGTGGTTTAGAGCACATTTTCAGCCACATAAATGGCCCGGTTGCCTCCCTCCTGCTTGATAAAAGATTATTGTCAAAGAGACTAGGCAGTGGCTGTGTGGAGCAAAATGAGGGAAGAGGCTGATGTTTTGTTGTTTCTGTAGTCATCTTCATTGTCACATTCAGGATAACCTTATACAAGTGGGAACACTTTTCTTCTCATATGGGTTGGCTCATTTCCAGTCATCCATGTAAAGAATTAGTGACCTGTTGCTTGTGAAACTACATTATAGTTTGTGTGGATGTTGACTTGATCTGACACAGGGAAAACAGGAAAACAGTGCTGGTGAGAAACTTTCTATTCAGAACGTGAGATTTAATCATCTTAAATTTTCTGTTCCAGGCAATGTCTGAGAAAATTCCAGTTGTGCCAAAAGTCTTGGATGCCAGGAGAAAATGGAGAGATGACTGTCTCACTGGTCTTGCCAAACTGAAAACACAAATGAAATCCAACTGAGGTGCACCTTGTCTAGCAGGAGAGACCAAATGAAGAGCAGATCTTCATAAAAAAGTGGAAATTTTTTGTCGTGCGGAAGAGGAGACTGAATGTGCAACCAATGATATGTGCACATGTAGAGACCAATGAAACATTTGGTCCAAATTTGACAAATTAATGAATAACTAGAAACAGTTATTAAAAAGTTCAGTTAAAATTTATCAAATTACTGTATAAATGCATTAGATGTGCAAGCATTAAGTAGCTTTAGCAATATTAATATTGTGCAATGCTGGAACACAATCGTGTTTTAAATAATGCATTTTTCAGCTTGCTTAGGAATTCAGCACTTGAACAATATTTGCAGGGATTATGCAGGGATCTGAAACAGGCAAACATCAGCTGTTTGTCACTGGAGAAAATAAGCCCACACCCACCAATCACTGTGACAGTGAGGTTAATTTGTGAAGCTCTGGCTGCAGATAGGAGAAGGTTGCATTGAGCAAAGAGTGGATTCACTGGCCAGTGAGCTGAGACCTCAGCAGCAGTAAGGGTCACTTCAACTCCTATCTGTTACTGTACCACAATGTAGGGGAAAGAATTGCTCCTCCTTTCCCACCCTTTGGCACTTCTGTACTTGTATGGTGATCTAAATGTAAGAAAATAGAGCAGAATTCCCCCTTCATTCCCTACCCCTGATTCTGTTAGACTTACCAGAAACCTACTTGGTCTTTAAGACCATGCACTTGATACCCCATGGCTTTGCCCACCGATGTTTGATGCTGGCCATTGGCATTGCTGCATTAGTATGTGCCTCATTTTAAGACTTGTCTCTGAGAAATAAGAGACTTTGATTTAGTAGCTAGTTTGGGAGACAGTACCGTGTAGTGGGTCTGTCTGGGCTTTCTCCATGATCATCTGAATGATCTTGGGAAGCCAGTTCACCTCTCTCGTGCCACATCTGTTTTATACATTAGCTGAAACAAGATCTGCTTCTTTAGGACTCGGCTGTAGTGAGTGTAACAGCTGCAGCTGAAGGGACCGCAGGTATCTGGGTTGGAACTAGGTGATCTTTAAGGTCCCTTCCAACACAAGCCCTTCTATGATTCTGTGATCTGCTATTTTGCTCCCCTGCAGAGGAAAAGATACAGTGGCTTAAATGTAGCATTTAGGCTTTACTGCTGCCCTTCCCTCTGGAGACACAACATCTCCATGGACAAGGAGGCAGGATACACCTGGAAGTAGTATCAACCTCGGGTGCTGCAGTGGCGTGTTTTCATCCACAGCAGACAAAGTGTTATTATGAATGTCTGAACCCTGTAATATGGTTGGACTTTGATCTTAGCTAGAACCTTGGGGCATTATTGTTTGCAGATAGTAAGAATAACTTGAAACAGTGCATTGTACCCACCCTTCCTGAGTTATGCATTTCTGAATTTGTGCTAACTGGTTATGTAACTTCAATCACAGCACAGATGCAGAAGTTTTAAGTTGTCATTTTGCTAATTCTCATTTTTTTTATAGAGGATACAAACAAGCTGTTGAAATTTTATTAGTTACCATTTTGAGCTGAACAGCAGAAACGTCTGCATGAACATACCAATACCACTTATTTCTGCTTAGGTCACAGTAAAAGAGATGTAGGATAAATTGTATTGCTTGACACAAATGGTGGGCCGAGAACACATTTCTGGATGTGAAACATAGGATGGGAGGCATAGTGCAGACATTGTCCTGTGCTTCTTTATAATCAGCCAAGAGAAAGGAAAATTTGTAAGCTCAAATTATTTTATTCCAATATAGACTTAAAATTGTCAGATTTCTTCTATTGTTTTTTATTGCCACAGCAACTGGCTCAACCTGCATTTAGATATCTGAAGTTGGAGAGGTCAATCCTCACTCCTGAGGCCTTATTAAACAAGGTTCTGATTACTTTCAAGATTTGACTTGTTTTTCTTATGGGCATATGACATTGTCATAATTAATTAGCTTGCATTGCTTCTGTTTATTCTGAGATATTTTAAAACTGAATCATGTAATGAAATATTTGCCACTGTTTTTATTTTGCTTATTAATAAACTATTTTAATGAGGAAGGTATTAACTTCTGTGCTCCAGTGTGATTGATGTTTTAGTGGTAGCACTACATATACATACTACATACGGGTCTTTAGAAACCAGTGTCCTGGTAGAATAACTTGTGGAAGTCAGGGGAGAAAACAGACAAGAAATAATGCACACTCTCCTATACTTTATGTGTTGGCAACCAGTTGCTGCAGACACGAGGCTCTGCTGTGAGGGAATGGTTTTCTGTGGGGGGGAAAGCTCTCTGAAGAGAGCCAGAGCACTTCTGTGTTGTGAGCAGCTCCTTCACAGGGTCTAGCATACAGCAAAGCTCACCTTGGAGCATCAGTTCCCACATAGGTTCACAGCTATAAGTTGAAGGTGGGGGGAGATTCTTGACAAAAAATGTGTTTTAGCTGACATTTGCATAGGATTTGAAGCACACACAATTATTAGTTAGTAAATGCAACAAGTGGAAAGCATTAGGAAAAGATAGCTAAAAGAATGAAATGGGCTGTCCTCATCCCAGGGACCTGTACCCTGTTCACAATTAATCCCCTTTACTCGTAGTCGTTAGATGGTATCTGAATCCTGCACCCAGCTTAGAGGTCCCAGGACAAGAAAGACAAGAAAGACATGGGACATATCTTGTACAGGGACAAGGGGTAGGGGAGGCCCCCAAGACGGTGAGGCTGGTGCTCCAAGGAGAGACTGGGGGAGCTGGACTTGTACAACCTGGAGCAGAGATGGTGGCTTTGAGAGGACCTACCAGCTACCCCCAGTGCCTGTAGGGAAGTCATCAAGGAGACTGAGTCAGGCTGTAAATTGGGGCTGGGGGAGAAGGTAGAGACAATGGACATAAATTGAAAGGCAAGAGTTTTAGTCTGGCTGTAAGAAGACACTTTTTGCCCCATGAAGATAGTAAGGCAGGGGCACAGGTTGTCCGCAGAGGTGGTGCAATCTCTGTACTTGGAGGTTTTCAAGTCCCAGCAGGGTGAAGCCCTGAGCAGCCTGGTCTGACCTCAGAGCTCACTTGTTGTGAGCAGGAGGTTACAGCAGAGACCTCTGAGCTCCATCCCAGCCTGCATTTGCCTGATTCCAAGTTTCATTTGATTTTGGACCATTTTGCATCAGAAATGTTGCTCTGTCTTAAGTCAGTTAACCCCAAAGAATGTGGATAGATTAGTTCAAATTGTCACATATGATGAGAGGACTTTTTTACCCAAATCATAAATGAAATTGAGGATGGTGTTACTGCATGTAAATAAGTCTGCAAAATTCCAATTCTGTTGAATTAATTGGTTTGATTTTTTTCTTCAAATTTGTCTTACTCCTTTTATCCCTTTTCTCCTGAAATGCAATAAACTTCTTGTGATGGAAGATGGAATTTTCTAAGTCTTTGTTGCACTGTGTTTTTCTCTGTTTTACTAATTTGATATTTATTATTTTCCTTATTATGCATACTTCACTATAAGTTACTGCTGCTTATTGGAAGCAGAGACCACTGTGTTCATACCAAAGCCTTTGACTTAATGCTGTTGGAAATCAAACTAAATCATGTGTAAGATAAGGAAGAAAGGACAGATGCAGGAAAATACCTCCTTCACTAAGGGAAGTCCAATACCTCTGTTTCCCAAATCTTTGAGTGTAATGGGAGTACAGCCTGCAGCCTGCAAAGCAGCCATGTGAATTTACTTTCCCTATTCTGTAGTTATTCTTCTAGTCATGATAATAGTTTGAAAGTTAAAATGTAAGCATTTTCTGATTGCCCTGTTATCTAATTGGATGGTATTAAGAAACTGTGTTATCCTATCCATACTATCTTTTGGGCAAAGAGTGAACTGTGCTTCATTACGGAAGCAGGATAAGTGCTCGTGGTGCTTGTTATAAAAAGAGAAAAAATAATTTTGAGACAAAACTATGTCATTGTCAGTCTCAGTCAAAAGGTGAGTTCTGCTGCCAGTGCCTATATAGTTACATGTCAGGATTGCATTGCCATAGTATGGAGTTACAAAAAGATCTTTGCGAATATGTAACTGGGGCCCTTGCAGAGATGGAGATGTGGAGGACAGGAGTTCTCCAAGAGAAGAGGAGCCCAGCAGATGTGAACTTAGCAATTACTGTAAGTAGGAAAAAAAAAAGGTCTTTTGCTTTCAACAGCCTACCAGGCCCAAAGGGAACGTTCCACAAATTAATTTAGATCTAGTTAAACAAGTGTAAATGAATATGTTTGCTCTAGCTGCCTGCTTATCTGCTCCTGTTCCCTCGAGCTTCAGAGCATGTGTGTGTGTGTGTGTGGGTGCTATTGCAAATCAATCAGAGTGGAAAGACGAAAACTGACCACAGGGGGAAAACTCACATTTGATTTGGTAAGGCTCTGTATGTATCAAGCCAGCAGCCAAGGATTTCCTTCTGTTCTTTTCTGTGATTTCAGACACAGAAAGGAATTCTTCCCTTCAGCCTGTTATTCAGAGTTAAACAGTGATGCAGCTTAGAGCGCATTGCTTACAGGGAGTTACTCATGGAGTTACTTACATGCTTACAGTTACATGCTTACAGGGAGTTACAGGGAGTTACTCTCTTACAGTTCATTTTTCAGGTAGAATTTTCTTCTCTAGAAAGGCTACACAGTCCTCTTGCTTCTGTTGTAAATGGGAGGTCAGAAAAAAACCAGAAATTTTCTAGTTTGCTAGGGAACAGCTTGACTTATTTTCTTAACATTTATTCGAAGAAGTGCTCCATGGGTTTACATGTCCCTCAGTATTTTCCCTTCTCTCTGACAATTTTTGTTCCTTCAGCAAGGATGGATTGCTCTTCACCAAACACTGAAATGGAGGGACACTTGGAATAAAACGGCACTTAACATGCATGAGATTTCTTCTTGAACCTGAGTGTGAAATGGAGATTTTAACATGTGGCTTTGTAGACTTCTTCCAGCTACATGGATTTCTCTTGCAAGCAGAGACGTGTAAGATGCAGAATCATCCATAAACTTGTTTCCCTTTATCTATGAGTAAAATACAATCTAACATGGAAAGGTTAAGAGTCCATACTTTCATATGGATGTAGGAAAGCTTTCTGCAGAAGCTGAACTTACTTTTTAGAAGATTTTATATAAAATAGAGCTGTAAATTTGTCCTAAATTGGATGTTTCATCT